TTTGTAAAAAAATTTCTTATTATTTTTCTCGAAAGGAATTTATCTCGGAAGAGTCTATGAGAGAAACCTGCCCTGCTTTCGGCTGCATATCAACCTTTCCCCGGCCTGTGCTTAGAGAATTCGCCAACAACATTTTTACAAAACTCACGAAATACTGGTGTTGAAAGAGAAGGCAAACTCAGTTGTAAAATGGGAATTTTCACCCAGATGCCAAAGATGTTTATGGAGAGCTAAAAGACATTTGTCACTAAATAATAGATACCTATCTTCTAAACCAGATAGACCCCCAGTCATTTAGTCATTTTCCTGTATTTGCCACAAATGACCATCTCTTCTTGCATCTCAGCTCTATAGCTCCACAACTGGCTTCTACGCCGAATTCTCCCTAGAGACCACAGACAAAACTGAGTCCTTGGAGTAGTTTTCTTTCAATTTCCATGACCTCAGCAGAACATTTACTCTTCAGTATTGGAAACCCTTAAGCAAAAACTTTTCTCTGCATTTCAAATTTGAAATTAGGGTGATATATCTAAATGGTTCATCCTGCATGAGCAAAGGCAGTAAATAACAGAAAATGGGAACATACATGACAGAGTGCAGGTGGTCTTACAGGAGATAAAACAGGACATGATTTTCATCATTTTGTGAGTCTATAAATCTTGCAGCTGACACTGGCTTAATAAATGCTCACTGAACAAATGAATGACTGAGTATCCTGTGAAGCATTTAAACATAACAGGTTATAATTATTTCACAAATACCATTTTTGAGATAATGATGATATTCATGGTTATCAATTATATCAGAGTGACTACAAGAACCAGATTCTCCATCTGGGTTTTATGAAGTATTTTCTGGCCTGAAAATAATTAAATATATAGCATTAGTCACTGACACAGACATGTCTTAGATGAAGGCCCTCACAAAGTGGAAGAGGAGGATTTCATAGTAACCAAGAACATCCAGGAGTTAAACAGTAAAATTTGGATATTTCATGCCAAAAATAGACATACTTTTCTTGTGCTATATTGCAAAGATTGCTACCACTCAACAGGTCATCACCATCATATCTGACTTAGACTTCTTTATTTCTTTTAAATTAAGGTGTAATTCACATACCACAATATTCATCCTTTTATAGTGTAGCTTTCAATGGGTTTTAGTAATTTAACAAGACTATCTGACCATCAGCACTGTCTATTTCCAGAACATTTTCCTAAAAGGAACCCCAGTTCCCTGCAAGTTATTAGCAGTTACTTCTGTCTCTCCTCAGCACCTGAAAAGCATTAATCTATTTTCTGTCTCTCAAGTTGTCTCTTCTGGATATTAAGTATAAATGGAAACATACAATATGTAGCCTTTTGTGTCTGGCTTCTTTTACTTAGCACAGTGTTTTCAGGGTTCATCCAAGTCATAGCATGAGTCATACTCCATCCCTTTTCAGGGCTCTGGTGTGGACTTCTGCAGTGTCCTCTTACCTGGTCTCCCTACTTCTACCAGTGTCCCCCAGAGCTTTCTCACCATGGAAGCCACAGTGGTCTTTTAAAATTATAAATCAGATCATCTCCTTTGCTTAAAATCCTCAAAGGCTTCTCATTTTATTCAGAGAGAAATTTGAACTCCTTGCCATAACCTCCAAGACCCTTCAGTGACTAGTACCTGACTCTGTGTACTTTTCTGACCTCAGCTACCCACATGCCACTAACTCTGTACTAGTTACACTGGCTTCCTTGTGCTTTTGAAACTTTCAGGATTGTTTCTGCCTCAGGGCCTTTGCACTTGTTGTTCCCTCTGCCTATGGCTCTTTTTCCAGTTCTTCCCATGACTTGTTTCTTCTCATCTTTCAGACTTCCCATATCATCTCCTCAGAGAGGCAAAACTAGATAATCTTGTCTCAAGTGTCTTTCCTCCGATTCCCAGTCACCTTCTGTTATTTCATTCCCTGTTTTAATTTCTATATAGCATTTACTACTACCTGAAATTGTTTTGTTTTGTTTGTTATTATCTGCCTCTCCTTGAAAATCTGCCAACTCCATGAAATCAGAAACTTTAACTGGCTTGATCACTGCTGAATGTCACTTTCCTAGAATGGAGCCAAGAAGGTGCTTAGTTAATATGTGAAAGACTGATGATTATCTTCCCTAGAACTCCCAAACCTTCAGATCTTGTCCCTATTCTTGGTTCCTAAAGCTGGGTCTCTTGATCTATTCTTAGACTTTGCTATTGCCAACTATTGCCTGATTAGATTTTCATCGCTGACTCTCCCACTCTTCTTGACATTCAACCATCCTCCCCTTCTTAATGCCCCCCATGATGACTTTTCTGGACATCCCAATCATAAGCCAGCAAATCTTGCTAGTCTGCAGGTCCATGATCTAACCTAGCCTTCATTCTTACAGGCTGTAAGCAGAAAGTAGTCCAGTTGCCAATTTGTGGTCAGGCATACATGGGATAACAGGTGAGAGGAATCAGCATGGTGCCCAGAATTAAACTTTATGTCTTGAACAGAGAAGCCTCACCTCATGGTACACCACACCTCATGGTATATATTGATGCACAAGCTCAATTTAAATGACTGTGAACTTGTAGGTACAGATTGGAATGTTTGTAACTCAGTCGGTAAGCCTCCACTGCAGAAATCTAGGATCTAGCTGCTTATTTGGACTGAAGGGGACCTTTGGAATCAGCTTCCTTCCATTTAGTCATTTATGAAGTCCCCAGCCTTTGCTCCCAGGTAAATAAAGTTCCTTTCTTCCCTCACTCCCCCATCCATCTTCTCTTATCATCCAAGTCACATAATGGCATGGCCATTAGTCTGCAAGTCTTTTCTTAGAATTTCTTTGAAAATAACAACTCATATACAGAGAGTAAAGGACAAGCCATAAATAGAGGAAATATTTGCCACGCATTTAACCAACAAAAGTTCCAGAATACATAAAGCATTTCTATAATGGGTAAGGGAAAAAAACTAACAACCCAAATGGAGAAAAATAGGCAAAAGGAATAAATGGACATTTCAATGAAGAGAAAACAGTAATAGCCAATACATTTCTAAGAAGATACCCTCATTAGTACTGGAAATTGCAAATAAATCCACAATGAGAGGTCACATTCACCAGATTGGGAAAGGTTTTTGCAAGGATGTGCAGCGAAACCTCATACACTGCCAGTGGAATATAAATTGGCACAACCATTGGAAAACAATTTAAAGTAGAGTGTAACTCAATTTTCTCCTATGACCTAATAACTCTATTCCTTGGTATATACCTCAGAAAACCCTGCACATGTGCACCAAGGGACATGTACAAGAACATTCACAGCAGCCTGGTTCATGCAGGAAAACACTTGTAATGAATGAGTTATTTCTTTTGCTGACTTTTTCTGGGGTTGTAAAAAGCACTGAGTTCACTATTTTTAGGCTTCTCTGTTCTCACTGACCTTTCACACCATATAGGCTGCTAAGATTAGGGATCTTTTAGTGTACCTGTGTGAGACACAAGGAAGACTATTGGGAACCAGAGCCACTTCCACCCGTCTACATTCTTTGCACTTCTTTTTAAGCAATCTTGAATCAAACCTATTCTTGTCCACTTTTGAACCTGGACCAGACTCTACTCTGGCCTTGCTCACATGCTGCCTGAATATAAAGAACTTAAGAATAGTAGTTATTATTTTTTCATTTTATCCGTCAGGGTTATACTCCTGCCTCTCTCAGAGCACTAACCTAACCTGCCTTGTAACGCAGCTATTTGAATGTGGGTTTGGGGTCCTTTACCAAATTGTAATTTCCTTTAGAAAAGTTCTTACTGTTACTAAGTGTTGTACTTCTTAAGGGCATGCCTTGCTGATAGTGGGTTGCACAGTACATGTCTAATGCATTAAAATCCCTGATTTGAAGAAGCATCTTCTCAGAATAGAATGGCCAGTGGCCTCCTCATATTCTGATATCCTTGGGAAGGTTGTTTCATATCGGTAAGCATCATCAAAAAGAATCATAATACTTCACATCCCAGAGATACCATGAATATTAAATAAAATAGCACGGGAAAGTACCTGATGTGAAGATGTCCCTAAAGAAATGCTAACTTCCTTTCCTCCTTCACTTTCCTCAATGTTCTTTTCACAAGGAGGTCAAATAAAATCAGTATTCTCTTTCTGTAGAAGGAAATTCAAACCTTATCCGCTAGTGCCCTGGAAGAGGCTGCTTCTTGGATGTTTCCACATACCAAGTAAAGGAAAGAACGGAGAGGGGTAGTGGAAGTCAGTTCACCCTATGTGAAAATGCAACGACCAGGGAGTGACAGCAGGAGAAATGCATAGAAATGGTAGTAACCTTAAGCCTGGAAATCCATAGGACAGCCAGAGAGACCTTCTAGACCTGTTAGAAACATATGTGTGGTCAAGCACCAGCAGTCCTTTCTTCTTGACCTTCTCTAACAGACAACTGCATTTCCCTAAATTGTCTCAGACCTCGCAGGAATCTGGGGTACATAAACGTCTCCACTGAACCAGTACTGCTGTAATCTGCACCGGGCTTTACTGGGGATGGGGACGAACGACTGCACAGAACCGAGCACTTCGGCAGGTGCTGCGGAGGCTCTGGGAGAGGAACACCAACGGGCGGGCAGGGCAGAGGTTTGCCCCGAGGGGAAGAAGGGGCGTCCCAGGCCGACGCCGGGAATGAGAGAGTCGCCACTACCAACTTTAGAAACGCGGACCCCAGCCTCTCCAGGCCGCCCGGGCTGCCATCTCCGCCACCGGCTCACTCTAGATCCTTCCACGGCTTCTACACGGCTGTGCTGGAACCCCATTCTCCTCTCTCTCCGCTGCGGCGGGTCGGCGAAGGTGCGCGGTGCCCTGAGTCAGAACCCTGGTAGGGGGCGAGGGGCCCCGCGGCTGGACGGGGGCGGGCAGGGGGTCGCGGTGACGCCAGGAGGTGCGGGCGGCGCGAGGTGACGCGCGCGGGGCCCGCGCCGCCTCAACCCACGTGTTCGCGAGATTTAAAAGTTGGCGGCGCGCGGGGCGGGCTGTTCAGCTGCGGAGCCCCGAGAGCCGCGAGCCAGGTTCGCAGAGGCACCGCCACCCGGCGCAACGCACGGGGCCGAGGCCCGAGCCGCCCGCAGGCGCCGGGATGCCGCGCGCAGCGAGCTGCCGCCCCGCGCCGCGCCCGCTGCTTCTCCTGCTGCTGGCCTGCTGCGCGGGCGCCTGCCGAGGTGAGCCGGCCCGCGGCCCGCCCCGCCGCTTCTCTCGCTTCGGCCTCGGCGCGCTCGCCGCGCCCCCTTCCCTCCCTTTCTCGCCTCCTCGGGAGGCTTCTGGGACTCCCTTCCCCTCGGGCTGCGGGGCTTCCTAGATCGTCGCGCTTGACCACCGGCGCGGATCGCCGCCCCAGGGCAGCCAGCCGGGAAGGTGACAGTGGCCCGCCCCAAAACCCCAGGCACCCAACGAGTGGAACCTTGCCGGGCTCCATCAGACTCGGGACGGGCTGCCTCCGTGGCCCGTGGGAAACGCGAGTTAAAATTAGAATGCTTTCTCTTTAATTGCAATTACTGGAGGAATGGATGGTTGAAGCAAAACTATAGTTTGATAGATCACCTGAGGATGCGAGGCAAACTTGGAGGGTGTTCAGCTTCCTCCGGGAGTGAGCCCCGCTCCGCTTCAGATAACCCAGAGCGGAGACGCGGGCCTCATCCCCGCAGCCGTGTAGAAGGGGCAAAGAGTGCGCTCTGTGCCAGCTGAGGACTGCAGTGGAGGCTCTTTCATCCTCCAGAACTGGAGAGGCAAGTGTGCAAGCCGGGCTTTCAGTCGGTGCTACAGCCGAAGTCAGTGAAGGCAGATGCGCTTTGGTAACACAAAGGGCTTCCTGAGTTTGGCTTAGAGAGAAAGAGAGCGAAAAGCAAAAGCAGGGTCAGGAAGAAGGTCTGAAACTTGGGAGGTGGAGGAGAAAGCTACATGTTCCAGTAGGGAGATCACTTCCCCATTCCCTAAAGGTTATCTCTCCAGGTACCCTGTGGAGACCTTTCTCCATTTCCCAGCCCTGAACCAGGGGCTCCTCCATGGCCAGCCACTGCCCTGCCAAGACGGTGAATTTTCTATCTTCGTCGCAGGTTCTCTTAGTTTCCCCCTGTTCTGGCAGTGCCGTTTTGGTGGGCAGACTGTTTAATCCTGTTCAGAACCCTGGGGACCTGAAACCACAACCGAGGGACCTTGGGGGAAACAACCATTGTTCTTTTCCAGTGTGTTTATTTTTATTGCTGCCCTTTCATTGTTTTTATTTTTTTTCCTTGAGGCATAGGAGATGGTGGGGGAGGGGGACCCCCCCTACTTGAAAAACAAGGTCATCTGGCTATGAAATCTAAGCAGTCAGAAGCTAGAAGATATAACCCTCCATCACAGAGGCAGCAGGATACAACATAACGTGTGCAAAGTCAGGTTAATCTTTTTTAATTTTAAATTTGGGTTAGGATTGCCATCTTTGCCTTATTAAGGAAGCAGATAATCATAGTTTTAAAGGTAGCTCTTTCTCTGTAAAGCAATTGTGCTCTCCATGCATGTTACATGCTATATGCTTAGTGATTGTCACATCGTGGGATATCAGTGGTTTTGGAGGGGAATTGGGGAAATTTTCAGGTTGCTGGTGATTGAATAGAAACTATGGGAGGCAGCAGCCTAAAAAAGACAAGTCTGGGTATTATTTCCAGAAGAGTGTATCTACTGGCCAATCATCTCATAAACATCCCCAGTATTTCCTAAGCAAAGGGGTGAGATGCCTGTTTCACCGTAGAGACCCCGAAACTACTCTTTTGGGTCTATTTTCCCATTTAGACCTGCTCTTGATATTAAAAAACATCTTAACTCTCTAAAAATGTGTTAGAGTTCCTAAAGAAGCCACTGGTGGGGAAACGTGACATACATAAACAAAACTGGTAGATGATCTACCAAGATTAATCATTATGCAAGATACAACTGCATGTATCTAAAAACAACAAAATAAATGTCACAAAGCCAGAGGACAGTGAAACAGAGTCAACATTTGCAGCATCCTTGGCAAAAATGAGTTCACCAGAGCATGCAACAGATAGAAGGTGCAGAGCCAACTGCAGATTTGGGGGATAAACATTTTACTGTTCCGAGAACATTATTAAAATAAAGAAGGAAATTTCCTAAGAGAGGAGAACATTTTGGATGTCTGTAAAAAAATTGCCATTTAATTTGGCCTGTGACAATGAATTATCAAGTGCCCAAGACTAAATTAAGAAGCGTCTTTTCCTAATCAGGCCCGTATTCATTGAATAATTCTTAAAATTCAGTCAGTGGTATGATTTCCCACTTCCAGAGCCTATTCTAGTTAAGTATTAGCAATGAGAAAAGAAAATTGGCACCTCTTTTAGAATAACCAAGTCTGTTTTTCAGAGAAAGACAAATACTGTATGAAAATCACTTATATGTGGTATCTCAAAACAAAAAACCAAGCTCGTGGATTCAGAAAACAGACTGGTGGTTGACAGAGGCAGAGGGTGGGGAGTGGGTGAAATGGGTGAAGGAAGTCAAAAAGTACAAACTTACAGTTATAAAAAAAGTTAGGTCATAGGAATATAATGCACAGCATGGCGATTGTAGCTAATAATACTGTATTGCATATTTGAAAGTTGTAAAGAGTAAATCTTTAAAGTCCTCTTACACAAGAAAACAATTTCTGTAACTATGTATGGTGACAGATGTTAACTGGATTTGTCCTGGTGATCATTTTGCAATATATACCAATATAAAATCATTATGCTGTACACCTGAAACTACTATAATGTTGTATGTCAATTATATCCCAATTTTGAAAAGTCTGTTTTTCTTTCTCTTACACACGGTGCATTTACTGATGTAAAGAGTTGTCTGTCCATATTATTTGCATCAGTTAGTTAGATTAAGTGTATATATTTTGGTATAAGAGTAAAAATTTCACTTTACTAGATAGTATTGAAGTATAAATATCTTGACAGGGATCATGAAGAATGCAGTTTTTGTGATATCAAAGACCTCTGACAATATTTCAGGAAGTAACTAGTACTGCTATTTGATCGTATGAAACCTCCATCTGTGACATTGTGGGTGGAAAATCACATCAACTTTGGTTAACAAATAGACAAAGAGGAAAAAAGTTCCCCCTTATGTCTGGGTTTGGTCAGAAGATATAAGTGGTTTTCTATAAATTACAAGCATTTTAAAGCTTTGCCTTCTTTCACCTTTTCACCCTGAGGCTATGTTTACATGTTTTGTGTAAGAGCCACAAAGTACCCCATTTTGATTGTGTAAGAGCCTGGGACTAAGGTATACGTAATGGTGGTTTCCGTGTTGCCTGTGTAAGCTTGGGGACATGGAAGGAGGTGAATGCCCATGGCTGTTGTGGTGAGGCCATCTGGGGTGGGGGCTAAGCACTTGTACTGGAGGGTACGAGAGGGTCAGGAGTACAGAGAATATAAAAGTCTTCAAACAGGAATGCCTTGTCAAACAGATTAACAATGCTATAATGAGTGGAGAAATCAGAAGTACATGCAGGTGAAGACTGAATCCAGAGTGGAATTCTTTCATATTTTTCTCTGCATTGGTTTTTGGCCTGTTTCTTTTCCAATACTGCCATCTTTTCTCTTCCTTTTACTTGCCTATTTTTCAGAGTTGTTCACTATTCAGTAGGTAAGTAGTGCATTTAATTTACAAGGAATGGGCCTATGGCCTTTCAGATTTTTTCATGGAACATTCAGATTGCCCCTTTGGAAATTTTCAGTTGTTAAAAGAAGCTTAGACCTAAAATGTTTGTTTGAGTTACTTAGTTTGTCAAATAAGAGACATCCCCCATTTCTTTCTACAGTGCACTGCTCCCTCCCCCTGCCATTCTGTGTTATTAGTGGTCCAGCAGTATCACTTTCTCTAGGGAGCATGTTAGAAATGCAGGTTCTTGGGTTTGTCCCTGCCGGCTTGAATTAGAATCTCATTAGGAAGATCAGCAAGTGTTGTGTATGAAAATTTGAGAAGCACAGCTTTATCCCTTCGCAAAAACAGATTCAGCGCAGAGTAACATCCAACAAACAACAGCGACTTTGGGATATACATTGCAAGAGGGTGAGAAGTATAATTGAGAAGTATGTAAGATTGTTTACCCATCTTTAATAGCTATCCCATGAAAGCAGTTTCAGCCAGTTTCTGAAGTAAACCAATTCTCTATGAGGGACTACATGACTCCTGTAAGTTACTTCTAATGCTTAGTACCACAGAATATGTGGTTAATTACTATTAAGACCACCATACTTCAATAACAGTGTGAACTCAAGGCAGGACTTGACTGAAAAGTGGTAGATTTAGGAAAAAAATTACGTGCCAGGATTTAGAATTAGCCAGACCTAGTTTGAATTCTGCCTTTGTTTTGTATCTAGTTCAGTGCTTTGAGATTACTAAATCTTTCTTTCAGTTTCCTTATCCTAAAAAATGGGAATAAGTATAATAGCTCTCTTAAAAGGTTGGTGTGAAGGCTAAAGGACATAATACATTTAAATGCTTAGCATAGTTCATGCCTGGCATCAAGTAAACGCTCAGTCAGTGTTAGTATGTGCTATCTTGTTATTTTTTAAAAGTTATCTTCTTTGAGACTACTTTTTAAGGTTTTTTGATTTTGCTGCACTTGAAATCATAGGAAAATTTACAGTCTTTTACTACAGGATGTTTTCTTGCTTTTAGTAAAGATTAATGTATACATATAAAAACAGGTAATAATTACATTGAAGTTGATAATATAAATATAGTAGTATTTATATAATATTTCACCAATATAATATTAAATGCATATATTTCTAAAAGACATGGATTCTCAGATTGGATTTTAAGAAAAGATCCAGGAATATGTTGTCTATAAGAGTCACACATCAAACAGAAAACAAAAAAAAGGCTTAGCATAATATAATATTAGCATAAAATGTCCGTGGTTCAGCTTTGTGTAGCATGTATCAATAGTTCATTCCTTTTCATGGCTGAATAGTATTCCATTGTGTGAATATACCACATTTTGTTTATTTACTAGATGATTACTTCTACTTTAGGGTATTTAGAAATTATGCTGCTATACACATTCATGTACAAGTTTTTGTGTAGATATGTAAGTAATTCATTCTTGAGAGTAATATCTTTTTAATGTTATTAAGGTTTATTTAATAATTATTTTCCTTATACTAAGCCAAACACTAAAATATATAGTTGAAATAGGAAGGTAGTGATGTACACTGAAAAATGAGAAATATCCAAAAATGAATTATTTATAAATATGTATTTTAGAAGGAATACTATAAAATTAACATGTTGAGTATAACTTTATTTTTAGGTGCTCCAGTATTACCTCAAGGATTATGGCCTGAACAAGAACTGCAGTTGTGGAGTGAGGTAAAGAATTATCTTACCCAAATCAATGGAAACTTTACCTTCTTTGAAATTATCATGGTAAAATAAAATAATATACCTGAGCCTTGAGAAAACTATGATTTTACTAATGTTCTGAAATCATAATATTTGGAATTATCATTTTTATTAAATGAAGAAAAGATGAAAATAAAAAATATGGTAAATGGTAAAGTAAGATGGCAGAAAGAAGTCCTAATAATAATTATAATAAATATGAATGTGTTGAAATACATCACCTAAAAAAAGGGATTCTCAGATTGGTTTTTAAAAGAAGATCCAACAACATGTTGTCTATAAGACTCACACTTCAAACAGAGAATGAAAAAAAAGGCTAAGCATAAAGGAATGGAAAATGATGTACCAAGCAATTATGAAGAGCAAGAAAATTGGAGTAGTGGTTTTACTACGTGATAAAATAGAAGTCAAATAAATAAACCATCATAATAGATAAAGGATCTTACATGCTGGGAAAAACAATAGAGCAAAAAATACAACCATCATTAAAATATATTAACAAAACAACCTCAAAATTTGTTTAACAGTTGATAGAACTCCAGGGAAAAATAAATAAATGAATATTTGTAGTTGGAGATTTTAATAAACCTCTTTCAAAACTGAGAGTTAAAGCAAGTAACACATAAGTAAATAAATTAAAGACCTAGTCATACAATTAATAAGTTTGAGCTATTAGAAATATTTTTAAAAGCTCCACTAAATTCTATATACATTCTTTTTGAGTATAATTGGAACATTTAAAAAAAGAGTAGACCATGTGTTAGAATACAAAGAAAGTTTCCATAAGTTAAAAAGGATCCATTTTAAATCTTTTTCAAATCATAATGCAGTAAAATTAGAAATTAATTATAAAAACATAACTTAAATATCCCATCTGTTTGGAAAATAGATAGCATTTTGGTACATAACCCTAGGCTAAAAAGGAAATTACAAAATACGTAGAACTGAGTGACAAAATATTATAAGTCAATTTGTATGCAAAATTTGTAACAGCTGAAACAGCAGTTAGAAGTTTTAGCTTCATGAATATTTATTGGGGAAAAAAGTTTAAAACAAGCTAAGCAACTATATGTGGGGGAAAGAAGAATAGGAAAAACTCAAAAAAAGAAGAATGAAGTAACTAATAATAATAAAGACAGAAATAAATTTTTAAAAGGGAGAGGGAGAGAACAAATTAACACTTAACAAAACCGTATGTTTGTTCTTTCACAATGTTAATAGCACTGGCAGTACTTATTTAAAAAGGCAGAGAGAAAAGTTAAATATACAGACTGAAAGAAGGGTAGACCACCAAGAAAAATAGAGATTTTAAAATGTTTTAAATAAGTGTTATGGACAACTGACTCGTGATGGCTGTACAACTCTGTAAATAACACAAAAAGCCCAAGAGCTGTACACTTTAAATGGGTGAATTGTATAGTATATGAATTATAATATACCAATAAGCTGTTACCCCAAAAAAAGTATTATAGACAGCTATATGGTAATAATTTCAAAAACTTAGATGAAGTGGATAAATTCCCAGTAAAGTATCTGATGCCAAAAAGGTATAATAGTAATACAATAAGAACTGAAGAAACATTTTTCTTCTTTCCTCATATCATTGGCTGCAGCCTCCAGTACTTTGTTACAGTAAATGTATTTAAGTCTTCTCTATAAACAAATAATTTACTGTAGAATTTTGTTATATAATGTTTACCTAGTTAAGGAATTTCTCTTTTCCTATGTTGCTAAGAGTTTTGCTAATCCTAAATAAAATGTGAATTCAGATTCTTTATCTGCATCAATATTGAGATCAACAATACGTCTTTTCTCCTCTAATCTATAATTGTGATGAATTACATTAATAAATTCCATGCTCTTAAACTGCTAGAGCTAAGGTGAGAATTCAGAATACTTTTGGATATAATACCACTATACAAGAATCAATAACATTTCTTTTCACTAAAAAAATTCCATGGAAATAGAGTTTAAAATATTATATCATTCACAGTGATAACAAAAATTATATAAGTATTTAGGAATTAACCTAACCACAAGTACTTAATAGCTTTATGGAAAAGTTTTAAATTTTAATAAAGGAAATAGAAGGTGGCACGAATACACAGAGAGACAGTCTTTGCTCTTGAATGGAACAATTAATTTAATGTAATAAAAATATCAGTTCTCCCCAGATTAGTCAATGTAAATTCCATAAAATCAATGTAATCCCAATCAGAATTCCATTTAGGTTTTTTTTTTTACTGTATAAATTTAACTTAAAATTGACATGGTCAATTTAAAATAAAGGTCTACAAATAGCTAAGGAAATTTTACACATAAAGAACTTGTCTTTATATAAAATAAGAAATTTTCCTACCAGATTCTGTAAAACTGTAGTAATAAAAAAGGTGTGGAAATGGTACAAGAACAGACAAATGAACAGAGACTAGAGCTTGGAGAGTTTAGCAGATACTGTCAGTGCCCTGTCATATCCCTTTGTTGTTCACTATTCCAGGTCACTCCAAACTCACTGTTTCTAATTACAAGCACCTGTGACTCTGCCTGGTTGGCCCGTGCTCAGGGCAGACCAGAAGTGCCTGGGAGAAAATGCCCCCATCACTGCCAACAGCCCTCAATTGGTGATCCAAGGGAGTTGGTGGATAGAATACCTTAGCTGCCTCTCCCTCAGTTGGGATAACTCTGAAATGTATTCTGCACTGGCTCTCAGAGTTCCCCAGACAGAAATCATCCCCCAGTGGTAATCTGCTTGATAACAAGCCCTTTATTGGATTCCTCCTCTTCTCTGTTTTACTTCTCCAATCTTCTATTAGTGTTTCTTGGGTCATCTCCCAAATAATCTATATATATATATCCACATCCTTATCTCAAGATCTGTTTCCGGGAGAACCCAACCTAAGGTAGAAATACACAAACACATAAACTTAACTTACAATAAAATTAACACTAAAATTTGGAGGGAAAAGGATAGATCAGCAAATGGGGGCTGAGAAATTTGCTGACTGTATGGAGAAAAATAAAGCTAACACTCCATACAAAGGGGAGCTCCAGGTGGATTAAAGATCTAAATATAAAGGGTAAATTACAGAGTTAATAGAAAATGTCTTTTCTTTTAGGAAGTTATCTTTCTGAGTTAGGAAGAGGAAAAGACTTCCTAAATAAAATTTCAAATATAAACCATGAGGCCAAAATATGATGAGGTAAATATTAAAAATAAAAGATTTCTTTCAACAAAGACTCCATTGAAAAAGGTAAAGCCTTTGAAAGAAAACATTGACAATGACTAACACTGATAGGAGGTAATTTTAAGGCTCTGTCCAACCAACTGGATGAAGATAGGAATCCAGAGAAAAATACTCAAAGGATAGAACAGGTAACTTACAAAGAGGAAATTTAAAAGGCCAATAGGCATCTAAAGAAATCCTCAAATTCATTAGTAACAATGAGGTGAAAATTTAGGCAACAACAAAGTATCACTTTCTACCCATTAGACTGGAAAAAAAAAAAGATGAAATCTAGATAATGGCAAGTGTTTGGAAGGTTATAGGGAGTATAAACCCTTATGCATTGTTATTGAGTGTGTTAGCTGATTGAGCCATCTAGAAAGCCACCTAAACATCCCATGATCTAACATTCCCTCTCTGAGTATACAGCCCAAAAATGATCTCCTACAGATCCTTAAGTAGAAGATAGATACAAGGAGGTTGGTTATAGTTTTGCTTATAAAGGTAAGAATTGGAGGGAGCCCAGCTGTCCATCACTGGGTAGGCAACATGTGATGGGTGCATATTATATTCTATAGCAGTTAGAAGCAACATACTAGATATGCTTAGTAACATGGACATATCTCAAAGTAGAGTACTAAGTGAAAAAGTAAGAAAATACTATATATACACACCAAACATGGCAGATTTTACAAGACCATAAACAACCAGGATACATCAAACACATTACTAGAGTTACCTATAGAAATATGGAATAGTAGTAGGAAATGGAAATATAAAAGAATAAATAAATAAAGCCCAGTGATGATAGTGAGCTTTGAGCTATTAGGTGAGGAGAATACCATTTGTTCCTAAGCCATCACTAACAAAATAAGAAGAAGAAGATAGAAGGTACAAGTCAAGTACTAAACAAAATTCAATAGCATAGAAATAAATACCATCTCCAACTCCATAGGTATCTCCAACTCTAGAAATTCTATATTCATAGACCATGAATATACCAAGTCTCTGCCTTGGTATATGAAAATACATGCTAGAAATATATGAACAAGATGAAGAATAATTTAGACAACAGATATTAATATCAATAAAGCATCTATTTTAACTTGAAATTATCTGTGAAAAAATATTTTAGATGATAATGCTGGAAAAAACTCAAAAATAGAGTTGTAAAAGAACTACACATTTTTTTTATGGAAAAATATATTCAAAGAAGCTAAGATGCTAAGAACATATAGTTAAGTTTTCTGCTGAGGTTTTAAAAATTATAGAGCTATTCAGACACTAGAAACATGTATTTTCAAACCATATACAGAGACCTAATCATTTTCAAACAGAATCATCAATGGATTCTACAGAGTTCTCAAAAGCAATTAGTGGCACTTAAAACCATTAGGGCCATAAACTGAGTGAAATGAACAAATGTTTACCCCAATGGAAAGTGGGTGAGCAATGTTGGTGTGCCTTTTAAAGAAAGGAGAACAAAGACTGAAAAGCTTTGCAATTTTCTCCTAATTTGATTAATTGGTGCTTTTGATTATTCTGATGTTTTTATTCAAACAATGTTGATGCCTTAATTAGCTAGCTCTGAGGTTCAAGGGCCAGTTGTTCTTGGACACTACCACCCCACACAGATGGGAAACTTGGTCTGTGGGTGGACAGCTTGCCCCTTGAGCATGTAATGTGTTCAGATACCTAAGTGCCACAAAAATTTCAGAAGGAACCACTTCTTCCTTCCCCAGTAGAGCAAACTAGGTAACATTTGGAGATGATATATTAAGTACTGGTCACAATTCAGAGCTTAAAAGGGTATTTTTTTTTTTGGCTTTATTTTTTTCTCCACAAGTTCAGTGCAATTTAATTAAAGGATATTTAATGAGATAAAAGAGGAAAATACAGCAAATTCAACTAGACCTGAAAAGGACCTGAAGACTACAGAATAGACCCCCTACCTGAGAAAGAAGAGAGGACCACATAGAAAAGGGCCAGGAAGAGGACAGCCCTGCCCACAGCCAGCTCAGCAGAGATTCTTGAGCTGATCACAAAGGTAGCGCAGCTCAAGCAAACTTTCCACCCAGACTTAGATCACTACAGAAGCCAGACAGAAAGGCATCCCACCCATGCCGACAACTGGGGCCCCTGCCGACAACTGGGGCCCCTGCAAAATACAACCAGGCACTAGAGAGTAAAGAATCTTGAGCTTCTGGTTAGCACAGCACACCTTCTTCATAAAGCTATTACTCTTTAGACCAGAAAGCATAGCAGAGACATCTAATACAAAGTGTGGAACACAGAATTTCTGACAAAATGAGCGGGCAGAGGAATTTGGTTCAATCAAAACTACAAGACAGAACCCCAGAAAGAGGGCTAAATGAAACAGAGATCACCAATCTTCTTGATAAAGATTTCAAAATGAAAGTCATAAACATGCTCATGGTTATAGAAAAATATTCAGGATCTCAGGGAGGACTTCAACAAAGAGGTAAATAATCTGAAAAAGCCATACAGCTGAAGAATACATGATCTGAAATGAAACATGCAATGGAGGGATTTAAAAGGAGATTAGGTCATGTAGAGGAGACAGTAAATGAAATAGAAATTAGAAAACAGGAAAACAAAAGAAGCTGAGGAACAGAGAAAAAAGGATCTCTAGGAATGAAAGAATAATAAGAGAGCTATGTGACCAAACCAAATGAAGCAATATTCACATAATAGGGATACCAGAAGGAGAAGAGAAAGACAAAGGGATAGAAAGTCTCTTTAAGGAAATAATTGTTGAAAACTGCCCCAATCTGGGGAAGGAAATAGACATTCAAGTCTTGGAAATACAGAGATCCCCTAACAAAAGGAACCCCAGGAAGACAACACTAAGACATATAATAATTAAAATGGCAAAGATCGAGGATAAGAGTGTCATAGAGAGAAAGCAGTCAGAGAGAGAAAAAAGATTACTTACAAAGGAAACCCATCAGGCTGTCAGCAGACTTCTCAACAGAAACTCTATAGGCCAGAAGGGAGAGGCATGATATATTTAATGTACTGAAACGAAAGGACCTCCAACCAAGAATCCTCTACCTGGCAAAATTATCAATTTAACTTGAAGCAGGGATTAAACAATTTACAGATAAATAAAAGTTGGAAGAATTTGCTACCATTAAGCCAGTCTTACATGATATGTTAAAGGGATTGCTGAAGATGGAAATGACCCTAAGGCTAAATAGCTTTCACTAGTGAAAATAAACTCACAGTAAACTTTTCCTATTTCATCCCAAAATTGCTCTTCTTTCCAGCCTGAAACTTCTTCAACTACAGGGACAATATTTGATTGGAAAGTTATTAGTATATGAAATTAGTATATGGCCAAATTAGTATATGAAAACTAATATATCTCAGTCTGGAAATTTAACTTCAATTTAGACTTAAGTGCATGCTTCCACTAATTCACAAATACTACTTCTGCATGTTTTTCTGATAAAACTTAGCCTGAGTCACTTGTTCTACTACCAATTAATTACTGATCTGCATTTAAATATAGTTGATCCTGAACAACACAGATTTGAAAGGCATCAGTCCACCTATATATGAATTTTTTTCAACAAATACATTGGAAAATTTTTTGAAGATTTGTGTCTGTTTGAACAAAACATTTACTTTTCTTCAGCTTACTTTATTTCAAGAATATATAATACATATAACATTCCAGAAAGTGTTAATTGAATGCTTATGTTATTGGTAAGGCTTCCAGTTCAGAGAAGACTATTAGTAGTTAAGTTAAGGGGGAGTCAAAAGTTATTCACAAATGTTCAACTGAGTGGGGAATGGGAGCCCCTTACCCCTGTACATTTCAAGCATCAACTGTACTTTTTTTCCTAAGTCAAAGCTGCTCTGGGGCTTCCTTGGGCTTGCATTCTTTTCCTTACACGCTTTGCAGTAAGACTAAAAGCCTGGAATTGTTGACCGACATCTACCACTTCCTCTGGGCAAGTCATGTAACCAATCTGGCCTCAGTTTTCTCATTTAATGAACGAGAAACCCATTTACTTGATTCATAATATTGTTCTAATGATCATGAACAAGATGTGAAAATTTGTAAAGTGCAATAAAAACATAGGATAATGGTATTATTGCACTCAATATTCCACACAAAATGTAGAAAAGACATAAAATTAACATGATTTTTTTCCAGGCTTTAATTCATAAAAAAGTACCCAGCATAGACTCTATGTAGGGGTTTTTAAAATTTCCTCAATGTACTGTAAAAAATATTTCTGAAAAAGTAGCTTCTATAAAGATCTTAATTTAAAGTTATACTTGAGAATCACTGTGCAGCATGATAAAATAATTTACCTAAAAGAAACTTCAACAATACAGTTTCTCTTTCCCCTTTAAAAAAAAATTTTATTGAACAACTTACTCTGGGCAAGTTAGGTATGGTAAAACCCCTGCCCTCAAGAACTTTATCACTCTGTATGTGTGTGTGTGTGTCTTTGTATCCATGTTTCTGGGTTTTATGGCATGGAAGAGGGAGCAGGTAGGTGGACACAGGGGACAAGTAGAACAATTCCCCAAATATTTGTGGTATATAGAGAAGATGACAAATTCTGTGAGGATAAAAAAAGGAGAGACATCAATTTATGCTTTTCTATAATATTGTATACCTTCATTATTCTCTAAATTAGAGAGTCAGGTATTTTAGTACATATGCAACTTGGAAGTTATAAGGAGCTTCAGAAATTGTGATTAAAGAGCATGGCTTCTGCCCTTCAATTTGGTGTGAGAATGGAAATTAAACTAAACTTATCAACAAAGAATTCTGCGACTAGAAGGGGGCCCCTGAGATGTATGCCATCAACAAAGTTCAACTTAAATAAATCATCCAGACAAATGAGAATCCATTCTGTTTTTTTCTGGTCCCATTTAAAAAGGCCACCATAAAAAGAAATAAATACCATGAAGAACTCCAAACATCCAGCTTAGTGCTTAATTTCTCAGCACAGTGTTTTAATGATTAATATAAATCTCTTATACTACAGCTTAAAGCCTTTCAAGTTTTCACTTTAGGATAAAGGCTGAGGACAGCTAGTTGTCATCTGTAGCTCAAACCTTCATTGTAATATAGACCCCTTTTCTAATGCTGGCTCCTTGGTAGAGAACCAGTGGATTGTGTAGCTTTACTGTATGCTATTTATCACATGATTTATCATTTAGCATGTATGCTGTTATCATGTTAATGTAGGTGATGTGATTGGATTTATGTGTAACAGAGAACCACATGATAAGAGGATGCTCCTTAAGTTTGAGGCCATACTTTAATCACCACCCACATATCTCAGGCTGAATAATACCCCAAGTTTTTCCCCTGAGTGTTTGAAACATCTTTATACTCACTGATGATTCCTTTCAACTATTTTGGGGATGGATACCCTGTGGCTGGGGGTGGGAATCTTAGGGAAATCTCAATTCCAGGACTTCCTTAGAAGGCCTAAGAAACTTCAGAATCCTGAACTGTCATAGAACTTCAATTAATGTTACACAAGTAACTTTGTAAAGTCTGCTTTCCATTTTCTGTATATTTCCAAGATGTAACTAGCATTTTTGTTTTCTACAGATAGTTAATGCTTGTTCATCTTTCCTGTCCATGGATTCTCAGCCTCAGGTAATTCCAATTGGAGGTGTTCTGTAGTGACATAAGCATTTGTGTTACGCTGAAACACTCCATTTCTCCCTTTGAATATGTCATTACTTTATGTATTTGTAAAAACATGTCAACATATTGGAAATTACCAAGTTTTTTGCAGGTAATAATCAGTGCTATGAACTTGAGTTGCGAAGTGCTAGGGCTTTTATGTTTAAGTGTATATAGACTTATAGATAATAAACACATAGTTTGGAAATTAAATGCTAATTTAAAACAAAATTCTGTTAGATTAAAAATAATGTACTTATTGCTGTATCTAGGAGCAAATGTCCTGACCCAGTTGAGTTTGAAACTCATGCAAAGGTAAACTTTTGGGATCAGATTTGCGGAGATCAAGCTGTCACTGTAACTAAAAAGTCAAGTTTGTGAATGTGGCCTTAGATCTGATGACAGGTGTGTTTGCTAAAACTGGTGCTCCCAGAATTAAGCGGGATTAGACAGTGATTTGGGGCTTCCCACCAAAGTTAGGTTTTCTGCCCCAGGGCCGAGATCAGACAGGAACAGCTGGCCAGAGAGCTGGCTCCCTAAGAAGAAAGGGCTGAACGGAACATACTCAGTTTCCCTTCCCAATCATCTAACAGGTGAATTATTCCTTCTACTATAGGAAATAGTTCACAGAGGGTTGGGGAGAGAGGAGAATTATTCTAGACCCTAAATATAGAAACAAGAGGAGTGGGAAATAAATGTGTCCTCCTTACACCATTTCTACTGGATGCTTCTGTCTGCAACTCTATCTCTAGTGCAGGGAAAGCAGGGAGATTTTTTATTTTCTTAAATAGTATCAGTAGTCTCTGCAGAGGCTCTGGCTCAACCTCCTTCAGAACAGTCAACTGTGTGCCTGGGGCATCCCGCTATGTGGTCTTGGCCAAGGCACCACGTCTATCCCCCCAATAGTCCTTCCAGAATGTCATCCTGGCTGGTGTGGAAAAACAGCCTTGTAGAGTGCTGTATTTCTCCTGCCTCCACCTGTGCCTGTGTCTGCACAGGATCACTTGCAGGAAATTACAGGCGTTAGGTGGCAAAGCAAGTGCTAAATTCTGTGCAAAGCAAGACCAGGATAACAATAGATGACATTTATGAATAATATTCCAAATTACTTGAGGAGCATTGATGGATATATAACGTGTGATGGATATTAATCAGCATACAAGCTTTTTGTGTTGTATTTAAAATTCAGGAACACCCTCAGAATTACTTTTATTTCTGCAGTACTAAAAGGATGAACTTTACTCATCTAAACACCAGGATAAACCAAGCTTTTATTGGATTTGGAGACTGTGCACCTTTTGAAGAGAGCTTGGTAAATTTACGGTGGAATCTTTTACATTAATTGATACAATTGTCATTATTTTTTCTGGTATAATTATTAATAATAATTAATTTTCACATTAACTGTAATTTTATTATTTATGTGTTTATCTGAGTGCTTCAAAACATTTTTACCAAATAGAAAATAAAGGATCTTTGAGGCCCACAAACAAAAAAAAAACATTAAAAATTTAGTATGAGAAAAATCCTTAAAGAATAGTTGTAGCTCGGTGCATAATGGCTTCATGAGAAAATGCAATTTGTTTTGAAACATTGTCTGTCATACTCCAGTTTTCTTGCCAGATCTCAACTGGCTTAGAAGCTGTTTTTTAAGGAGACGTTTGTATATCCCACTTTATTCTTCTTTGAGTTAAGAAGCATATGACATCACTAGATATTTTCTTTTTATTGCATTGTATTTTGCAGCATTTCTAGAGGGCCATAAAAGGAAGTCGCAGGGATTCATTTCCAGATTTTTATGATGTGACCTGTGTACCCAGGCCTGAAGGGAAAAAGTGAGACAGGATGTATCAGTGTTCACACTCTACCTTTTCTCTCATTCAACTCCCAGCCATGTGCTTACAGTCAATACGTGTGTAACACAGAAATAGAGCTGCTGGTCAGATGACCTAGCTCCTAGGCCACACTGTGCCATCTACTAGCCACACAGTAATGTAGTAGCCATGTGCAAGTGACAGTCTCTTGGAACCTTGCTTCCTTTATACTTGAGAATAACAATTGTCCTGTATACCTCACAGCTGTGGGGTTTTTTTTACAATTTTTAAAAAAATTTTATTTTTGCTATCATTAATCTACAATTACATGAAGAACACTATGTTTACCAGGCTCCCTGCCTCACCAAGACCGCCCCCCCACCCCACTACAGTCACTGTTCACCAGCATAGCAAGATGTCACAGCTGTGTTTTAAGGACATAATGTGACTTGTGTAATTATGAAATTTTGCAATTTATTGAAAGCACTACATAAATAGGAGACCTTTAATATTATTAATATGCATCCCAACCATTTGCATGGTAGGCAAACAAGTGGAAGAGAACAAAGCAGACCTCTGATGTGCTAGAAAGAGGCTCAGAGAAGCTGTTTCATGACTCCACTGTATCTCTAATTATAGCCAACCATGTTAAACATGCACTGTTCAGAGGGTGAGAATATTGGTGGCCCCAAACAATCCTTTATGACATGTCTTCTAAATTAAGAGTAATTGCAGCTGTAAATCAAGCTTTACAGGTCATACATTTTTTAAATGCTACTATTGTCAAAGAATTGCTATGTACCTAGCACTGTGCTAAAAGCTTTGCCTACATTTTATCCTTCCAAGAACTCTCTGCAGTGATGATGTCATCCATGATTTATGGCTGAAGCATCTGAAGCTTAGAAAGGTTAGGTAACCAACCCAAGGTAACACAGCTAATAGAGCAGAAATGGAATTTGCCCTGCATTAGAGTTGCAGACTGCTCAGCTCCATAGCCCAGGTTTTTCACCATGAATCCCAATACCTCCCCTACTGTTGCAGCTCCTCATTACTTCTAATATGCACTTATTAAGTAATCAACTGTTCATGGTATTCCTGTGCTAAATTCTGTGCAAAGCAGGTTTCGTCCCTGCTTGTCTGTTTGTGCTACTTCTCACCACACCCAGCTGGCTGCTAACCACAGGAGCCCTGCCCTACTTCTATGCTCACAGGCTTTGAAAAACCTGATCTTCAGGTGTGCAGTCAGCAGTGTGGAAGGGTGGTAACTCAGATTAGGCACACCATCCACAGCTTCTTCCCCTCCAACTCCCATTGTTTGCAAGCGATTGCAGGATTTTCAAATTAGTCAATAATGAGTAATATTCAGTGAGGCTCCCAACTTCGGCATGTAGATTCAGACTTTGCTATGAGCTGGGTCACTGTCCTAGTTAATCTCAGTCATAGAATTTCATGGAATCTTATAGTACTGAGAACTATGTACGTGGACCACGGTGAAGGCCTCAGTCAGTGCATGTATTTAATATATAACATTTTCCTCATTGGAAGGTTTTACCTTTAGGAGCCAAGTTTCTGTCATGAGAGACACCAGGGGATCCCAACAGTTTCAATGGGCCATAAGAAAGATTCTGTTCTGGGTATTTGGAATATCCTTTTGCTCCTAACGTTTTCAAGTTATATCTTCTATGCAAATGTTGTTAAAGCAGAAGCATAGCTTACATGTCCTCATTTCCATTAGGCATCTAACGCACTGGAGGAGCTGTGCATCGCAATTACAGGGACTCTACCAAAGCCCCAGGTAAGGCTGAAAGAGTCTTTTGTTGGTAGGCAAAAATTCCTCAGTGGTAGATTGGAATTCTTCCTGGAAGAAAATATACCCAATTTAGGAAGCATGCCAAGGGAAAGTTGATTTTGGATAAGAAACAAATACTTCAATCTTTCAAATGTCTGAGAAAATAGGGTCATATTAATGGAGTGTAAAGTTATCTAATTGGAAAATCCTATGTTCCTCTCAAGTATAAGATGTGTTCTAGTTATGATGAGAGAAATTTGGCTCTTTTTCTCTCTCTGACTCATTCTGCAATTGGAGAACAGCTGCATCTTTGTAAGTTTGGAGGTAGGGACATTGTACGAGGTTAGAGAGAAAGACATGAAGAATGCAAAAAAAAAAAGCAAGTTGTATTGTCAATGTCATCTCAAAATTATATTCTTAATATGAAGTCTTGATTTTCATATTAAAATTATTTGATTATTCTGGAAGAACTTTTTGTCCTGAAGTGAGGATAGGTGGGATAAGTGAGGATATTGAAAAATAGAATAATGTACCATACTTCAGTTTATATTCTGTATCTTATAAGTGAATTTATTTTAAAAATACCTTTTTAAGGGTAAGGTTAGAATTCTATTTCTTATTAGCAATTTTAATTTAACCTATGATCAATGATAGATTCTGACATCCATACCTCTCATATACAAGAATTAAAAGAAACCTTGATATTTTGAAAGCATAAATGGTTTCTGAAACGAATAAGTGTTTATTACTACATATTTTTCTAATGTTTGTAATAGATATTTTCTATTAGAAACTACTACAATAGTTTCTAAAGTTTGTAATAGATATTTTCCAAAACACCTAATTGACTTTTAAAAATTAAGATGGAAGAAATGGCAATCATTTTTATCCATGAGTTTACTTTTACTAAAAGAACAAAAAAATGAAGAACAACAAAAAGAACAGCAAAAAAGTGAATAATATGACTCACTCTTAATATTTGGAGAGAGAGAGGAATGTAGAAAAGTTTATGAAAGAAAGCAAAAATAACTCATAATCTTATTATTTAGTGGTAGCAGCTACAAATATTTTGATATGATTCCTTCTAGTCTTTGTCTATGAATATCCTATCATGTGATCATATCATCATTTTCCACTGTTGAATGTTGAGGATGTTTCCAATTTTTCACTCTTAGGAATAATGCTGTAGGAAAGATCTTTGTTTGCACTTTTATTTATAAACAGTATTTATTAATTTCTTGTTTATTTTTAGAGCAACTGCTGCTTAACCAATTTCAGTCTTATATTTTATATTTAACATATGTGTCATGTTTAAAGTTATATATAACCATAATACATTATAAATTATAACATACCATATATATATTATACCTGGTGTATACTTTTATAATATGTTATATATCATATAATGATACTTACATACCTCTCTTTTCAACAGGAAACAGATGAAAAAGATAATGCCAAAAGGGTAAGGTGATTTCCATAAATATATACATTAAAAATAATAAAAGGAACCACTAATCATATATAGTAAAGCTTGCTATTTTTTTTAACAGTTCTTATTTCATTATTCAAAGACACAGAAGTTGGGCAATTCAAATGTTGTGGTAAGTTGTAGAATTGCTTCTTGTTAGTAATCACTAGTACCATTTTAAACCTTTTTGCAGTTCATCTAATACAGATAGATCAAAATTCATGCTTTTTTTAAAAAAAGTTCATATATGGATGAACAAATTGGTTCAATTTTTATTATACATTTATCTTTTATCTCAACTACATGCATATTAAATTTATCCATTCACTCAACAGTTATTTTACTGAGTATCTACCACATGCCGAGAACAATTCTAGGTATTAGCAATATAACAGTAAGTAAAATAGGAAATTAAAAAATAGATCCTTGCTGTCATGGAACTTACACTCTAGAGGCCAAAAAAAAAAGAAAAGCAAATGATTAAGTAAAGCATCTTGTTTTAGATAGTGCAAGGGAAAAATGGATTTATCCAAAATCATTTTCAGAATTATTTTAAAAGATAAATGTCAAAATATTAAATTAAATATAAGTAGAATAACCAATTCTATTCCTAAGGTTTCCTTATTTGTAATTAGGTGTTAAATATAATATTTTACTCTCTAAGATTCGCCAAATACCAATAAGTTGAATTCAGTTCACTTCTAAATTGTGTGATTTTAGCGATAGTTTTTCTTTTCATATTCATGGATTTACAAAGTGCTAGCCAACCAACTTTGGTGTTTCAGTCTAGAATACTTAATAATTATTTGACTGTAATATTCTTCCTAAGTTTGTGACTCACTTCCATGGAAGAGTTTAGGGAATGAGGAGCATAGGGTATTTTAAACATGTATTTGTGGAAAGGTAACTATAATCTTAAACTCAGTTTTAGATATTTATCACATTGAATATTCTTACATATGAGGAGTTGAAAGTTAGGTTATACTGGCTTTAAACCAAACAAGTTGAACTGGTTAACAAATAACCACTATATAGTGCTTAAAATAATCCACTTGATAAATGAATTTAATATTTTTGAGAAGATATTCAATTCAAGCCATGCTTTTAAAATGAAACCATATCAAGTAGCCACATGTCTCAAATGTGCTTTCATTTTCTTCTGCTTGGCATCTTTACATTTTGAAAAACTGTATCTTAGTCACATTTTTCACTTCAATAACGCATTGTCATTTTTGTGTTCCCTGCTGTCTTGTTCCATATATTCAGTTTTAAATAAAATAGTATTTTATAAAGGAGGTTACTAGATGCGTGTGCTGTATAACCTTGAAGATAAACATTTTCATGATGGAAAACTGATTCTCCCTGAGTTGGTTTCATCTGTCCTGTATCATTTTGAGTAAGTCTGGAAGCAAACAACTTTTTGCCTCTTAAAGATGCAGGCAGATGATTTACTTGTTGGCAGCTGATGAAGGAACTGAGGCCTTCAGGAAAGTGCTTCCTCAACATACTGACAAAGATCCTAACATAGAACTACCAAATTTAATTCTGTCTCTTGACTCATCTCCATAGTTCTTTGAAGTGCTCATAGCAGTCTGTTTTAGATAACATCTTCCTTGTTTGTTTTTTTTTCTTTTGGTCTGGAGCAAGTATAGTGGGTGAAACTAAACCAAAAAACAAATAGGAAACCATCTCTCTGCCCAAGGCTGAGAAGCCTTGTGCTCATTGTGTGTGTGTTCGTGTCTCTCAGTCGTCTGTTGTGCATCCGTTGCTGCAGCTCGTTCCTCAACTGCATGAGAGAAGAATGAAGAGATTCAAAGTGGACGTATGTAACAAACTGCATGCTTGCTTCACCACTCTTTGTGGGGCAGCCTTTCTGTTAATCCCCAGCTGTGGTGGTTTATGAGGTACCCTTCTTCAGCATAAACCCCGCAAAACCAGTTCGCTGATGGACCAGCATCTGTTTGCGGAAGGGTTTTCTCACTCAGGAAGAAGAGAATTGTTTTCTGTCCCCATGTATTGTCCCTTCTGACTCAAGCTGAGGGCAGTGAGGAAAGCTGGGATTAGGTTCCCTCCCAAGGGCATGACCTTCCCAGTGAGGAAACCTATTCTTGGTTTAAGAAAGGATGGGGCAGTGTGCCTCGTTGCTAGATAAGAGCAGGAGAAAAGGTAAAAGATGATTTACTGCCTCTGTATACAGGTTGACAAATGGCTAGGATAGCAAGCTTTCATTTTCTTTCTTTTTTTTTTAAGTTCTATATATTAGGATAGCACGATTTCTATGAAGTTATTAAAATGTTATTTAAAGGAAGGATCATGAAGTAAATATATCAGAAGCTAAATATAGGCATTAACTATGGTCCAAATCCAGTACCTATGTATAAGATGAATATAACTGAGTTTTAACACATTATTCTTACTAGAAATAGCAGAGTTTTTATTGTCATTTAAAAAGAATCCTCTCATTGATGGTTTCTAAGTTTTGTTTTTGAGTAATGTCTTACATTGTTGTAATGCATGATAGTTTTAAGTCTTATTCCATTTTATTCTTTCAGCAACTTTATACAACTAGTGTTAATCCCAGTTTACAAAAGCAAAAAAATTTAGAATAGTTAAAGGTGTTTCCCAAGATCATTCTAGTAAGTGAGATTAGAGACTGTAACAGGATCTTCTGATTTATGGTCTATGCAAATTTTTTTTTCTCACTATGCCATTCCTAATAGTCTAATCTTGGATATTTTGTTATTTTACTGTTAGGTTTTTTCCTTAATTTAAGTACTACTGTAATTCTATTCTTCATAAAGTAATACCAAAAGACCTTAAATACTTTTAAAAAGGCATACAGTTTAGGCAAATAAATTTCTCAAAATTTATTTTTATGGTTACTGTGTTCTCTCTAAATTCTTCACTTAAACTAAGCTTCAATTGAGGAAGACAGTATTTGCTGTAAACTTGAATAAGACATGTAAGAGAAACTATACTAGCCTGTTAAAATTTTAGAATTTCCAGGATGGAAAAAAAATCAAATCAAACTTTGATTTGTCATCAAACTTCCTAGAAGTAATATATGCTTTTTTGAAACAACTTCTATATTCTGAAGAATTTGCTGTAAGAATAGTGTAAAATTTCAAGGTAAAGATTCAGTTTCTTAAAATACAACAACAAATTATTAGTTTACTACATCACTTCAGTGTCATTATTTACCAAAGCTAAACACTCAGTATTGTGGCCAGTTTGGTGCTTTGTCTGAATGTTCCACCTTGAGTGAGATTATATTTCCAAACAGCTAGCTGAATATGAGAACTCTGCCTTAGTGATATATAGCCTGATGGACAAATGGTAACTCCTAAAAGTATCTTGCAACACACCAGGTTTCCTAGGAACCTATGAAAGAATTAAAAGTATGAGTAGAAAAAAAAAAGTGAAGTGTTAGCTTTGGTGGGCCTGATTCACCTAACTTTAAAACATATAATTTGAAAGTGAAATGTTTTGGGTTCTTACAGAAAATGAATTTTCAGATCTTAGGTCATTCAAACACTTTTTCTTAAATTTTGTTTGCCTGACATCTTCACCTCCATCCCTACATCTTTATTACCTTTACCTCCCAAATTCTTGTATATACAGTTCAGTTTCCAATGATAAGACTAAAAGACCTGTATGTTTGGGCTTGAAAGTTTTAAATTTTCGCACATTTTAAGGTACACTATACCTTTTTTTCCTGTTTAATACAATATATACAATTTTTCTTATACAAACATATAAGCATATAGTTTCCATGTGTGCATTTTTAAATATGAAAAATTTCAATTTTTCAAGTAATTTGGGGGGTTATTGTCAGGATGGGAATTAGGTACAAAATATTGAGAATTTAAGATACATTTGTTATAAAGCAAGGATTTCAGAATTTTAATAAATGTGAGAGCCATTTCTTAATATTTAAAAATATGATTGGACTATTATGGAATAATTAAAAAGAGTCTTGACAGATTTTACAGTGATTGCCATCCTGATATTTTGTAACAAGTGATTGTTGTTGAAAACAGGAAGTTAAAAGAACCTATTTTGTGGAAACCATAAATATTTTTCCATTAGGTTTAAAATAAAATGTTTAAGAAGAGAAACATTTCAGAATATACCCATTACTACTAATTGGTTCATTTGTATTTGTTTTTGTTTTTTTATTACCATTTCTGTAAATATAATTATATTGGGAAAATCTTTTATAAAGTTTCATTGAATAACATAGTTTACCAAATTTGTCCCTCAATTTAAATTTTAATTACTATAGACATATTGTGTATTTTAGCTCTGACACAATTCTATTTTATATGTGTCTCTTTTCATGTATTATTAGCACATAAAATGTATTTTAAAGAAATTATTTCGTTCTAACAAAATGGAAATTTTAAATATACTTAATTACCTATGAAATGTCTCTCTCTTTCTACTTACGGATGAATACATGTATAACTGGCAAACATTCTGAAAACAGAATCAGTTAAATTGACAAGGAAATTATTTTAAAATACAATATTCTGATGATACTGCTAGTTGTTGAAAACTCTTCAGGTACAAATATTACTTATTAAAATGAATTGTATACCAAGTCCTTGATTCCCTCTTTGTTTAATTTTGGCAATCAAAAATAACTTTGAGCTCACTATACACTCAAGAAGGATTTGCACTTACTTTTACTGTTATTCTCTCATTCAGGGAGAATTCCAAGGTCCTTTTGCAAGCCAAAGTCGAAGATACTTTTTATTCAGGGTATGTAAATTTTTTTAACTGCATTTAAAAAAATTAATATCAAAATTGAAAAATACTTTAAATGTGCATTTATTTACATTAACTCATAAGTTTTAATTAAGTTTTGAAGTTTACTTATAGATATTTGGCAGCAGGTGTCATAGTCTGAGATTCACTTCTTCCCCAACCTTATTGTTTTAATACTATGGCATCTCTTATCTTTTCTCTAACCTACCACTTGTGTTTGTAAATAGCCTAAATGACAGCCATCTGTTTCACAGTTTAGTTTCACAACATTTCATGTGCATTTTCATGTGAGTGTCTTAAAGATGCATTACTCCTTAAGTTCTAATAAATCATTTACAAATGATTCAGGAAGATTGGAAGAGTTATGACTGTTTTCCTGAGTTTTTAAAAGTAAAAGAATCAACTACAATAGACAAAAGTTTGTAGTTACATTTAATATTTTATATGTCCAAACTGTCCATGAAGAGTGACTTTCTTTCCAAGCAGGAACTATACTTTCCAAAATGTTTGTATCCTTAATATATTACCAGAGACTTTTCATTCATTCACTCATCAACTATTTATTATATTTCTACTGGATTCTGGATAATGCACTGAAGGCTGGGAATATAAAGACAGATAAGATTCCATTCTTATGCTCTAGGTGTTTGCAGCCTAATACAGGAAACTGATAAATAAACAAATGCAAAATGCTTTGTCAAATGTATTCACCCAGGGGGTGTGGTTTCTGAAAGAAAAGCATTTATTCCAAGCTGGGGAGTGGAGGAGGTACAGTGAAGGTACAGAGAAGCCTTTAAAGAAGGGTTGAATTTGAAGAATCAACAGTAATTAGCCAGTGAAATATTAGCTAAGGAATTTCAACTTTATTGTAAAGGCTAACGGGAGCCATATAGTAAGATTTGTATTGGGAAACTAATTTTAACAATAAATTGGAGAATGGATTGACAAAGGAGCAAGACTAGATAAAGGAAGAAATTATTCCACTCACTGAGATCACCAAGTGGCTTTCTATGGAAATTAACTTCCCTCCTTAGTTACCTGATTATTTCTAATTTTTTCTTTTCCAGCCACGAAATGGAAGAAGGTCAGAAGGTTACATTTAAACTGGTATGTGCTTCACAACTCAACCAGTTTGAAAATTTGTTTTCAGATATTCACAAATTAAGCTGTGCTTAGTATATTTCTATTAGTTGACTGCATGTGTGCATTATTGTTCTATGTAAATACTACTACAGTTACAGGGGCTGTGAGGGCATTTTAGGATAGAAAATGCTAGTATTTTAGGATGAGACCTTTAGTATAGAAAATGCTAGTATTTTAGGATGAGACCTTTGCTTTGCTCATGTCATACATTCCTCAGACTATGTCACAACAGTCTGTTTGACTGTTTTGAAGGCATTGACTTTATCATCAGTTATTGTACAAGTGATATATGTCAGGGATTGTGTTATTATTGTGGTAATCAGTGTTCGCAATTATGGGCCAGGACTTGCACATTGAGTGCATTTTGTCTTCCTAGTGACCTGTATTCAAAGTTCTTATAAAAGCTGTGATTTACCATTTCTAGGGAACTAAGAAAATGTGGAAAGACATGAGAACATGACTTCTACTTTGGGATTCCCAGAGTTTCCAACCTCAGTGCTGGAGATATAGTAGATGCTTCATAGCTGTTGAATGGCCCTACATGTTTCACAAATATGTCAATCCTAATATCTGATTAGACTATGAGTTTTAAAATTAAACCCAAAGCAGATTGATAAATTTACCCTCCAAAAGTAAAAGGTATATTCTACTAATTTTATGTAATCCTAAATGCAGATTATATGTTGAAAATATTTTTGCAGATATCTCACTCACATCATTTATTTCAACCCTTACATACTTACTTAGCTTAAGAATGTTAAAATACTTAATATTTTATCATAGAAACAAAATCAAAGTGCACCATTTCTAAGGAAGATAACACAAAATTATGTAATATCTAAAAATAAATATAATGAAAGCAATGCATATTAAAACTTAACAGGGCTCTGCCAAAGGTATAGTCAGTGGAAAATTAAACGCCTTAAACACCAAAGCAAGAAAGAATGAGCAAATTAAGGATTTAACTCAAAAAGTATGAGGTGAACTGCAGGAAAGCAAAAGGAAGAAAATTATAAAATGAAAGCTTAAATTAATTATAAAATAGTACAAAGAAGAATTGGTAAATCAAGTGAAGTTTGAGAATATGCAAAAAATAAAATTTAAAAAATTTGCCTAATTATTGTATCCTAATCAAGAAAAAAATGAAAAAAACATAAACATACAAAAATACAAATGAAAATACAAGGGAAATTAAAGCAGATATAGAAGAAATGGAGATCATAGAAGAGTCCTTTACATATCTGTGCCTATCAGTTTGAAAACCTGGATAAAATAGAGGGTTGTCTAGTAAAGTAGGTCCTACCAAGATTGAGCCAGAAGAAAGAAAAAAATTTAACCAAATTAACAGCCATGGAAAAAAAAAATTGAAATCATTATGTAGAAACGTGCCCTTCAAAAATACCAGACCAATACATTTTTTATTTTTCTAGCTCAGAAAAGTAGAAAAACCTCAAAATACTTTTTATGAAGCCAGGAAATACTTATACCAAAATCTTAAAAAAGTAGGATAAAGAAGGAAACTGTAGGTCAATCCTATTTATAAACATCAGTGCAAAAAGTTTAAAGAAACATTTTAAATTGCATTCAGCAGTATATTAAAAATATTATGTGAGCCCATGATGGGAAGTTTTTCCAGCAACTCAGTGGTTCAACATTAGGGAGTCTATTAAAATATTTTTGCCATCAGAAGAAAAATTATATGAACATCTCAACAGATGCTTTTGGTAAAATTTCACATAAATTTCTGATGTTTTAAAAGAAGAGCCTAGAAAGAAATGTATCTTTGTTAACATTATTTATATAAAGGTCCAAACAATGTCAGTAGTCGGCTTGATAGTAAAACATTTTAGCACATTCCCAAATTCCTGTGAATGTCAGGAATAAAACAAGGATGGATTCTCTGTCTCCTTGTATTTAATGTAGCTCTTATGCATTGGTGAGTTCAGTTAGATAAGGAAGAAATCCAAGATACAAATATTGAAAAAGTGAACAAAAACTTTAATGTGCTCACAGGGCATAATTAGTAACTTAAATTTTTAGACTGTGTTTGGCATTAACCCCTGTTATGTTCACATTAGAAATGTGAGCAACCATATTCTTAATTTGCTCTTTCTTTAAGGAACTAAGAACAAAAATTAATGGGAAAAAAGCAGTCTTTTTTAATATTGCAAGTATAGAGACTTTTACAAAGTGTGAACAAATAATAGTTTAATACTAAGTGAAAAATGTCTGTGATTGTAGCACCAAACTAAGTCTTAGAGTGCTCACAAATGTGAAGTGAAATTTAATCATAATTTGATTAATTTAGTAAGAAATTCTTTCTGAAATTGAGGAGTATAGCTTCATTTAGATTGTTTCCAAGATCAGGGCCTACATAGACTAATTCACTCAGAATTTCATTTTATTTTGTCAACAGAGAAACAGTTCAATAATCATTTTATCTTTGTTTTTTTCATCTGGTTATCTGAGGTCTTACTGTATCCTGGTGACTTGTATTTACTTAGAAAGTGGTTAGACATGAAAAGGATAACAAGTACAAAAACACAAGGAAATAAATACATGAGGAATAACTGCAACTTTTGAGATATTTTACTTATAAATCTTATTGGCATCAATGAGCTTTAAGAAACCACTTTTATTATAGTTAAATACTGTAAAATTTTGGAAAATACAGATATACAGAATAAGTATTCCTTCAGAGAGATATTAATGATAGCTAAAAATATATAGATTGAAAAAAATAGCTGAGAAATATCTCTGATGTCAATTTTATCACACATGACAAAATATTTATGGAAATGTCTATTTACAAACATGTATATACACATTCACATACTCATTTATTCTTGAATCTAAATTCAATTTTTCTTTTTTTTATAGGATACCAACAATTTTCCACAGAAACAATGCCATGGAAATATGAAATATACTGACATTTTGTTTTCTTCTAAAAAAAAATCCTTGCGAAGTTTACCATGTTTGGGAATCCTTATGTTGTAAACATCCTCAATAAAAGTTGGTTGAGGTTGAAAATGTTTAATATGTTGAAAATAAAAAAGCATCTTAAAATATTTTTTCTTAGTGTTGTAAAGTGTGTAATAAAGCTGTAAATAATGGTGTTCCTTAGATTCCTACAGCTTATCACAGTACTGATACACATGTACTTTTTTTATTTGTATGTAAGGCACTCAGTAGAGTTGATTTTTAATGAGTTTTCTTAGTTTAACCTGTTTGGATTTCATCAGTGGCAAAATCACCAGCTCTTACAAATACCATAATGTCCAATAGCTAACAGTCTTAGAATGTGAATACCAACTAAAACTACGCTAGCTGGAGAATTTGGCCATGATCCATCCAATAGGTAAGTAAGTAAATTGTGATTTACCTGTAAAATGTGTCTGATTCCTCTAAACATTATCAGGGGTCTAGCTTTCTCTACCAAATAGTAGTATTCAGTTTATCGTAAAATAAGTTGCTTCACCCTGCAATATCTGAAAGGCAACTAGTCTTACTCATTACTAGGAAGAAAACAATCTAACGAGTACAGGATCATGAACACCCTTGGAGAACTTGTTATGTCAAAGCAGGGTTTAGTTGGCACAGAATTAACCTCAGGTTAAGTTTATCTCTCTCTTCAGGTTCCCCTGGATTTTTCCCTCTGAAGCTCCTCTTGGATAACTACCTACTCCAAGTAGGCTGCTCGCTTACTACAGAAGGGTGGCTCTTTGAGTTGGTAGGATTAGGTCTTGTATTCTTCAGAGTAGAGTATCTAACAACCTTGTCTTACCACTGTTGACCACTGAATACAGCCTAAATTATGCCTTTTACTAACAAAGTCCCTGAATTTCACTTCTTGTCAAACCACGTGAAGAACAAAAGGAAAGAAGGAGCAGAAGAGGAAAAAAAGTGCATTCTTCTTTTAAATGAATTGCCTTGAGAAGATGGGAACTTGAGAGCAGAGAGGGCCTCCTGCTCTAAAACCACAGATGTGTAGGTCACCATCAGTTAGCACTACGCACAGCAATCCCACTGGCCTGGGTCCTGGATTGTCAAAATAAGAAAAGGCAGCTGAAGGCCAATTTAAGCAGCAGTCCTGAGGGCCTCCCAGAAATCCAGTGAGACTTCGGACACCTAGATCTGAGGGCTTCATGAGATAAGGAGGAGGGAGAAGGAAGAAAAGAGACATGAGAAGAACAAGGAGAACAGGAAAGGGAAGAGGAAGAAGAACCAAACCATGGTTACTAAAATTGTGGGATGTTTTAAAGTATTTTATATTTAACAAATTCGTATCTTACAACAAAATATTTAGGCTACAGAAGTATAGGGTTTATATGAGGTATGAACTGGGCATACAGATGGAGTGATCCAATACTGAGCCCAAGTTTAAAATTGTGTCATTATAAACATTTCTTTCCTCTTTCCAAATCCTATCAGTATATCTCTGTGACTATGTGTATAACCTTATTTGGTGATACCGTCAAATGTTTTCCCCATGTTCCTGGCAGCTGCCAGTAAACATTCTTTCCTTAACCTAACCACCAATGAATCCAACTGTCTAGGTTTCCTGCCTCAAGCCAGAACTCCTGTCTTCCAAGACAGTGGGTTTTTAAGACGGGGCTGGAGAGCCATTTGCAAATCTGATGAAAGCTCTGGTCCTTAACTGTCAGATATTCACATACAACAAATTATGTGTACAATAGGGGGAGGAGGCTAGGTAGCTCCTAAAATCCACCCAAGTATAGGCTATGGGCTCCAGGTTAAGAACTCCTCTGAAGGGTTCTCTCCCAGGATTTTGTTATTTCTCCATGAGCACAAGACTCTGAGGTTGAAGGGTGCCGAGGGTGGGATACACACGTTGCTTAGCGGTGGTGGAAGGGTGGAAGGAATGCCAGCACCAGTATCACTTGGCGAACAGGAAAGGCATCACTGGGGACTGAAACCCCAGGACCCGGTGGGTGAGTACCCACAGCCCCTAGCCCTGGCCACGCCTCCCCGTTGCCTGGCAACAGAGCTGGCCGGCGCGGGCTCCTCCGAGGCGCAGTTTGTCTTCGCCCCGGGGGCGGCGGTGGAAACCTGCGGCGCGCTCCCTTCCCGCCTGAGGACGCGGTGGGTCTTGGCTCGAGTCCCTCGCTGGGGACCAGCGACGCGGAACGCCATGCAGGTGAGGGTCTCGGCCGCCGGGTGCCCCGGGCAGGGCCTGAGGCGGACACCAACGGGAGGGCGGCCCGCAGTTGGGTTCTAACGTTTGTTCTTAGTAAATACTAAATTTTGCGGGTGCCTCTGTCAAAATTTGAGAGAAATCCGAAATAACTTAAGGAGAGCGCCGTATTTTCAACGGACTTCAGTTGTTGCTGGAGGAAGCGTTGGGAGTTGTTTGGGGTTGTTTCACACCTGAATCCTGGAAATATCACTGCTGCACTATTTCTGACTTAAGAAATAGACCAGCAATTTTAGCGCAAGTGTAATTCAATGCAAGTATCCTGCCCCTCTACCTTAAAAAACGATCACAGTAGGAGCCCTAGTAGTTGCATCTGTCTTGTAATAAAACAAAAAAACAGAAAGAAAAAGAAAAAACCTTGTTGTCCCTGGAGTTTCTCCTACCTGATCACAAAAAGCTCTGGTAGACTTCCATTTATTCCTTAGAAGACTGTTCCTCTATCTAAGCTCCTGATTAACCAGAAGCCTGTGCTTTTGTTTCCGTTTTTATCCAGGTAAAATTCTCAATTTCTGACTTACAGAAACAGCCTCTTTGCACCGACTCCCTCAAATTAAAACCACTGAGATTTTTCTTGTTTTACATATTTAATTTTGGTATTTGTATGTACTGTATAATTAGGATATTTTGAACATCAGTTACACATACCTTTTTAATGGATTTTTTAATGTATAGTACTTTTGTGTACTATCTAATGGATAGATTCCTAGCAAGTACATTTTATCCAGTGTGTAAAACCGAAAACTTGTTGGGATTTGCACCCGCCCTTCAAGAAATAGGACAAAATGTAGTTGCGGCTGATAAAAACAGCACATTAACCTTTTTACATTGATTTATTCAACAGCCAGCTATTCAGTGCTTATGTATAGTTATGGACTTATTCTTACCATGTGGGAAACAAAGGGAGACCAATATAACTAGCTACTTATGGCATGATAAATGCTGTAATAGTTTCAACAAATAGATTGTGGTACGTAGTTCTATTCGGTACAATTTCATAGATAATTTCTAAAAGTGAAAGGAAGAACAGAATACAGAGCACTTACCATTAAATTCCATGTTAAATCCTTCTGCAGCTAGCTCCTAGATCAGTTAAGGAAGAACAGTTAGGGAGGTATGAATAAAACCATACGAATGTGGTGTCATAAATATCAAGAAAGAGTATTTTAACAAGGAAAGAATGACAAACTCTCCAATTCTGCATAAGGGATCAAATACAATGAATATCCATTAAAATTACCAACATGGGGCTCAGGGGTGACCTTAGAGCAGTTTTGAAAGGAATATTGGAGGGAGAAGCCAACTTTGGAGTAGTTGAGAATGAATGGGAAATGGAAGTGATTAAAGCATGTATAAACAATTATGTCAAGAAGTCTGATTAAGAAGAAGAAAATTGAGATAGGATGGTAGTGTGAAATGTAGGGAAAGTATTTTAAAAAATGAATGATGTTATTTCTGATAATAGTGGACCAAGTTATTTGGACCAACTCTCCTGCTGACTATAAGTAAAAGTGCTGGCTGTAATGTAAAACATATCTCCATAAAAACATTGAAGAAGTGACATAATAGTAAGAAACTATGAGACCTAAATTGAAGGGAAATTGGAAAAACAGGTGAATGGATTTCTAGAGCTCCAAAGCCACTTTTACCCTGAGGGCATTAGCAACTTGCATTTTGGTCCTGGATGTAATGACAGATTGAGGAGGAACCAAAGACCGTAAATGGTCCACCAAAGGATGGGACTAATGGGAGTATGAATGAGAGCTAGTTCAGGGAAGGTTGTTTTGATGCTTAGTGGAACAGTAGAGAAAAAGGAGAGAAATAAACTCCTAGAGGTTATGGCCCAAGACAGCTCTCATATAGATGGCAACCTAAGGCATATTGTCTGGGTGGTCCAGCAAATGTCGAACTACAAATTTGATATAGCTCTATACTACAGTGCCTATAAATGCCTAGAAGAAATAAAAAATCCTCTGTGAAGGAAGACATCTTTATTTTACGTCTCAAAGAAATCCTGCAGATAAGTTCTCATGGACTGGAAGCAGAAATCAGTCAAAAGTAACCAAGCACACAAGGGATGGCACCATGAGTATGAACCAACAAGAATAGACCTGCAGAGACTTCAGTCATTAGAATGATCAGAAACATGTTATGAAACTTTTCTTATTATGTTTAAAGAAATAAAAACCCAGGTATAAATTATCTGCAGGGAGTAGGAGACTATTAAAAATTTGACTACATTTCTATACATTATCATGAATAATCCAAAAGGAAATTAAGAAAACAATTCTATGCAAATCACATTAAAATACTTAGGAATAAATGTAACCAAGGAGGTGGAAGACTTGTCCATTGCAAACTACTGAAACATTGCTGAAAGAAATTAAGAAGAAATAAATAAGGAAAACATCCCACTTTCATGGATTGGAAGGCTTATTAAGATGTCAATACATGCAAAGCAACCTACAGATTCAATATAATTCCTATAAAATCCCAATGACATTTTTTGTAAAAACAGAAAAACCCATCATTTGGAATACAGAGGTATTCAAAATAGCCAAAAAAGATGAGCAAAGTTGGGACCCACACTTTCTGATTTCAAAATGTACTACAAAGCTGCAATAATCAAAACACTGTCACTGGCAGAAAGATAGACATACAGACCAATGGAATACAACAGAGAGCCCAGAAAAAATCCTCATATATACAGTCAAAAGATTTCCAAGAAGAATGTCAAAACCATTCAAGTAAGAAGATAATCTTTTCAATAAATGGCATCAGGTAAACTGGATATGCACATGCAAAAGAATGAGTTAGATTCTTAACTCACATTATAAACAAAAATTAATTGAAGAC